TGCTGTCGGCTCCGTGACATTCATGGCAGTGAGGTTCCGCCCGCGTCTCCTTCGGAAGAGGCCCACGGTGACTGAGGAGACAGGAAGCCACTTTCATATCCGACACATTCGTCTTCTACAGGCTCGGTTCCAACATGCGGGAGCAACAGCTGATAAAACTCAGTTTAAACTGAAGTGAGAAAAATCCTTGCAGGGGAAAGATCAGTACACTAGGTCAGTCAAGGCACATAAAATCAAGAAGCAAAAGGTAGACCTGGCCCGCGTGGCTCTGGTGGTTGGGTGTCACCCCCTGCACCCACAGGTCAGGGCACGCGCCCGATTGCGGGCTCAATCCCCACTAGGGGGCGTGCAGGAGGCAGCCAATCAACAATGACTCTTTCATCATGGATGTTTCTCTCTCTCCCTGTCCCTTCCTCTCTAGAAAATCAATAAAAACATTTAAAAATATAGGTTTATTTTTTTTAAAGAGGCAAAAGATATACAGTATTTATAATGCAGTTTGGAATTTTCTGCCGTTTTGATTTATATTATAATAGCCTACTCCTGTTGGACTTCAGCCCGCAAAGTTGGGAGCACGTGGGCTGGAGGGCGAGCCCTGGCGGTGGGGTCGGAGCACTCTCTGTAGTACATGAAGCCTGCCCGCTGCTCAGCGTTTGGAAGTCGTCGAGCTCGTAGCGAGACGTGCAGGTTTGGAAAACCCTCATTGTCACGGGAAAGCTCAGATGTTGTCATGGGCCACAAATACTGTTTTCAAGACAATATCTGCCAAAAACTCAAGATTGAATAATTATAAAGTACAACATAGTCATTCTTTCAAGTAAAAGTGTCGTCCCAGTAAAAAGGAGCTAGTTTAGCTTGTAACTCAAACAGCCGTGGAAGCAGTTTTCTGCAAGGTAACCCTCGGCCTCAGGACGCAGCAGGTCACTGCCCCCCCAGGAAATTAGAAAGACGTACTCAAGGGTTGAAATTTTTTAAAAATCTACTTTGGGTGGGGGGAAAGGAGGGGAGAGAGAGAGAGACATTGATTTGCTGCTCCACTTACACATTCATTCATTGATTCTCGTATGCGCCCTGACCAGGGATTGAACCTGCAAACTTGGCGTATCGAGACGACACCCTAACCAGCTGAGCCACCCAGCCAGGGCCCTGCGGGCTTCTTAAGAACATTTTGAAATGCAACTGTTCTTGTTTGTTTGTATTTAGCGAGCGCGGCAGTGAAGACAGTAATGAGCAAAGTAGGACAGTTTGGTCCTCTGCCTGGGCTCGTGCTAAGTAAGGAGCCAGCAGTGACAGCCACCATCGCTTTTGCAATATCAAAGCAAGTTTCAACACAGTGAAAAAAGCAGACAGTGTCTTGGAGTTGTTTAAAAATATGTTGAACTTGTGACACCCCCTACCCTCCAGTCGGGTTTCCAGGACTACAGTTTGAGCATTGCTGAGGCTGAGGATGCAGAGGAAAAGCCTAATGAGACCGACCATGCTAAAAAGACCAAAGCAAATGTCAGCGTGTCCTAAGTTATCTAACTTAGACCAAATCTGACCTATGAATGTAAAATATTAAATTTCTCAAGTTATGTACAAGTAGGAACCAGTACCTATTGGGAAAACCTAACAGGAACAAAGATTCCCATTATTATTTCCACCATTTGATTATGAGAATGAAGTGTCTTAATACTTTATAAAAGTATGTGTAGCCCAGCCGGTGTGGCTCAGTGGTTGAGCGTCGACCCATGAACCAGGAGGTCAGGGTTCGATTCCAGGTCAGGGCACGTGCTGGGGCTGTGGGCTCAATCCCCAGTAGGGGGCGCTCAGGAGGCAGCCGATCAATGTCTCTCTCTCGCCATTGATGTTTCTATCTCCCTCTCCCTTCCTCTCTCTCTCAAATCAATTTTTTAAAAAAACACACTTTAAAATAAATAAATAAAAAGTAGGTGTAAAATTGGAGTGATGTGGATTGCGTTACCTGTCCTTGAAGAGAGTAGACTTCGAAAGTGTGCCCGGCTTTCAGACTCCAGTCCTACCGTCCGCGCATTTCGGTTGAGCTTTAAGATCTTGTTAACTGCTCTTGGTGCCCCTGTGAACACGTCGGGCAACCCATCTTTCACCAGACAGCCATGGGTAACACGCCCGGGCGGGAGGTAGTGCAGATCAATATAGAAGAGTGTTTTTAGGGACTGTTGATGGATTGCTGTATTCCCAGCTTAACTTGAGGGCCAGATGCCCCAGAGCTGACTAAGATGAACTTGTCATTTACCGAGAACTGTACAGGCCACCGCACGCGCAGAGGGCTCTGGGGTCCCCGAGACGAGGCAAGCGCGTCTTCCCCTGGGTGGTTTCGGGGAGAGCTCCTGCGTTTTTTAAAGCAGCCTCGTGTGGTACTCTGAGGTGGACCCCGGACCATCTCCTTGCCGGAGCACAGTGTTGGTTACCCAGGTGACAGTCCCCCGGTGACGCGGAACCGTGAGACCTTAGGACCGCCGGTCCGTTCTCCGCGCCGGGGACCTGGTGGGTGACTCCGGCCCTCGAGCTGGAGGCTCCGCAGAAGGTGGCAGCGAGCTGAGCGCCGTGGCTCTGCCGCTCGCTCCCGAGCAGGTTCCTCTCACTGCAGCTCATTTGCGTCTGGGACATCAATTAGCATGTTTGTTGAGGCTAATTGAATGAAACTCAATCATAGCTCTTAATTGCCTGACTATGTGAAAAGAAATCACATTAATGCAGCTAATTAAGTGTACAGCAATAGATGCAACATAATTAGGAGCGAAATGCAAAAAACAAGGGATTGCGGAGGTGCGGAGCCGGGGCGCGGGGGGACCCGGGGCCGCGGTGGTGGAGCCATCCACGCGTCTGGACGGGTCCCTCCGCTCCGGCGCCTGCTTGGAAAGAATCCACATGATGAGCTTGGACGACTTGAGAAGAAAAGTGCAAGTAGGTTCGCAATTACTACTTTTTCAAGCTGTTGAGGGGCAGGAGATGGCACCTCTGGGGGGCCGGGCTCTTGAGTGGGCCCCGGGGACTTGTTAAGTGCTGTTTAAAAGTACTTGGCTTTGAATTAGCCTCACGCCTTGTTAAAGGGCTTTCTCCCCTTTTATCTTCGATCAGCATTTTCTACAAGGAACCGGGAGAAGGGTACTATCTGTCGCATTTGCATATCAAAATCGAGCTCGCCGTCTCTCTCCCCCCCGGGGAGGTCCCTGCCTCCGACCCCTCGGGCTGCACAGCCCACTTCTGAGGGGCGACATGGTTTAGTGGTTGTCCCTTTAATTCCTCCGTGCCAGGCCCAGGAGAGATGAAAAGGACCAGTTCCTTTTTTCAGAAACAGGAAACTCGTTCCTCTCGGGAGAAGCGAGCCGAGGAGCCGCAGTCTCACGTGTCCCCACCTGCCACCTGTTTCCGCAGCACCACCTGGAAGGGCCTTCGTGGCGCAGGACATGCCTTCTCTGAAGCTTTTAAAAGACCCTAGTGAAATATAAAAATGGCCAGACTTCTATTCCGATTTTTTTTTTTTAAACAGCTAGTTCTTGTGAAGTTTCAGCACCTAAGTAACTCAGGCGAGAGAGCAGATCCCCCGGCCCACGCTGAGCCCGAGACAAATGCGTTGGTTCCCTCGGCGCACTCAGCCCCAAAGAGCAGGCTCTTGGTAGATTTCTGTAATAATTTCGAATAAAACGTCCTGGTTATTGTATGTGAGAACGTGCCTGTTGCAAGAGCCCATGCTGAGGCTTAGTCACTCTCTGATTAGCCTCATTTCGGAGCCCATGAGCAATAAATGCTCAATTACGCTCCTGTTATTGTATTTTAATTTGTGAAGAATTGGCATTAAAGAAGAAAGTTGTAGCAAGTTGATATTTTTAGAGGAGTAACTGCACAAAGGAGTTCATTACTCCCGAGCCTCAACTCTGGTTTTGAACCTTGGCCTCGCGTATTTTCCACGGGCGTTGGTGGACGTACGTGAAAGATGCGTAAGAACAACCTTTTAACGACCTTGACTCTTGGCCCCACGCTAACCAAAGGTCACTTGCAGCTTCGCCGAGCTCTTTGCTCCCGCCCTTGACCCACCCAACTCGGTCACGAGCCTGCCTGTATTTCTTGCAGTCCACCTGCCCCGCCATCCGATGTAATGATAACTGTGTTTACATCTTTGGTCCGCAGCTTTTCTTCATAGTTATATTTGGGGGAGTTTTCCAAGCATCTTGATTTCCATGTGAAGTTTTCAGCCTGTTCCCAGCTGGACACACCTCCCCTTCCCCAGACCCACGACTGTCCTCCAAGGTGGCCGTGGCCCACCCCCCGGCTCCAGCCTGCCCCGTGGCCGTCCGGGTGACCCTCTCTGAGCCACCTCTGGGAGCTTAAACACACAGCTTGCCCAGCCCGGGGTGCTCATGGCTGCACCGCTGAAGAAGGCCCAGCTCTCCCACCCCCCACCCCCGAGGAGCTTTGCTGAGTTGGCCCCACTCCGGTGCGGCCTCTCGTCTCTGCCCTCAGGTCCTCCGGGTCCTGCCTCGGCTTTTGGAGCTGTTGCTCTGCACTGGGAGCTGGCCTCTGGAGGGCGGTCCTTAGGAAGTCCCTGGGGACCCCGAAGCACCCCTCCTCCTGGCCTAGTGCTTGGCAAACCGTCGAGGTTCTGTCATTTCCGTCAGAGCGTCTCCCCGAGCGGCGGTGCCCCTGAGTGATAGTTTCTCCTCTTGCTCTCCCCTCCTCTGTTGAGAACCCCCCGCCCTCCTCAGCCTGGGTGGCTCCCGGGCAGCCCCACCTCTGACTGTTGGGGTTGTGGGGTGAGGTGTCGTCCCTGGACCCCCGAAGCTGGAGAGAGAGGGCAGCTCTTTCACACTCCCTGTCTGGAGGCCCCACGCTTAGCTTCCTTCCCCCGTGTTGGAATCTTATGCTTCGGGGTCCTTTCTGTGTCAGTCCCATCAGCAAGCGTCCTGCCTGCCAGCACGTCTGGTGCCGGGTGGTGGAAGGTCTCCAATTGAATCTCTCTCGGCTGTTTGACATTTGAACAGGATTACATGCAGAACGTCCACGGCAAAGAGATCGACCTTCTGAGAACCACCGTGAAGGTCCCCGGGAAGAGGCCCCCCCGCGCCACGTCGGCCTGTGCGCCCATCTCCAGCCCCAAAACCAATGGCCTGTCCAAGGACATGAGCAGTTTACACATCTCTCCAAATTCAGGTAAGCGCACAGCAGGCTCGCCGCGAAGCCCGAGCGTGGGCTGCGGCCGGTGCTGCTGGCTGAGCTGGTGGGTTGTCAGGACGTTGGTCACGATGCGGCCGATTGAGGTCTCGAAGCCCCTCTCTCCCGTCAGCGGTCCCTTCCTTTACAGTCCGGGGGTGGGGAACCTTTCTCCTGCCGAGGGCCATTTGGATATTTATAACATCACTCGTGGGCCGTACAAAATTATCAACTTAAAAATCAGCTATGAAAAAGGCTCCTACATTTATTGAATTTCGAGTCCTGCCTGCGGTTGCCTTGGCAGGGCCAGACCCAATGATTTTGAGACCATGTACGGCCCTCGGGCCGGATGTTCCGCACCCCTGCTCTACACTGTGGGCTCTGTGCCATGTAATGATAACTTTGTTTACATCTTTGGTCCACAGCTTTTTTTCATAGTTATATTTGGGGGAGTTTTCCAAGCATCTTGATTTCCATGTGAAGTTTTCAGTCTGTTCCCAACAAGCACACGGTGGCACTTTGAGTCAGCTGCACAAACCAGACCACGAGGTGGTCCCGGAGCCCGGTGGTCGCAGGTGCAATAGCGCGCGGTGGAGGGTTTCGGGGCCTTAAAGACATGAGTGAGTTGTTACGGGATCGGGGATTCGCAGGAACTGATTCGTAGGGACCAAGTGCGTGAACGTGAACCGGCCACTTGGAGCGAGATTGATCGGAAACCGTGGGACCCACAGAGAACGTAAATTCTCGCAGCTTTATATTGTAAGTGCTGCGTCTTTCTTCAACCCGGAGTTAGTTTTCTTTACTCCCTTTTAAGGGGGAATTAGCTTTTTCTCAGAATTAGATGCGTTGAGACAGTCCTGGTAATTGTAAGCCATTCAGATGTCACAGGTCGTTCCCGGTTAAGTCTGCAAGCGGCGGGCTGTGGCTCTGAGCTCCCGAGGTTCCTGGTCAGGGGACAGGTTTAGTTGCCGTGCGAATCCTCTGCCGCTCGGACCCCTGCAGCGCGGGGAGCCTCTGTCTTTCTCCCTCGAGGAGCCCCTCTCTTCCCTCCGGCCGCCATCCCTTCCTCCTGGAATAAACTCCTGTTCTGCGGCGGTTCTGCGTGTGTCTGCTTCTCAGAGGCCACGTTGGTTGTCCCTTCTCTGAAACGTGAAATCCTTCGAGAGGGGGGGGTGCTGACCCCGCAGGTCTGCGGCGTAAACAGCACCGGTTGGTGGGAGCCGGGGCATAGAAGGGAGCGGGAGTTTGGGGTGCGTGAGCCGGGGCTCTGCTGCTGGATGCCGAGGGGTGTCGGGAGGGTAAGTGACCGCACATCACCACCGCATCAGGCTGACCTGGCCTGGCCTGTGTGTCACCCATGTGATGGCAGGTGAGGTCACACGGAAGGGCCGGAAAACACCAAGTGCAATAGAGACGTGAGCTGTTACGAATGAAGCAACCTGGGCTTTCTGCTCACGGAGACCTCGGTTCATTCCCCGGGGGGGTGAGGTCCTCCTGCCTGGGTTCTAGGACCTGGACCCTCCTTCCCGGGCGCACCTGGCGTCTCCCTTCTCAGGATGGCGCCCGCACCCTGCGGGCTAAAAAGAGGGAAAGGCTGCCCAGGGAAACACTTTGTCTCTAGGGAACGCAAGCCTTTGCTACTTTGTATTTCTTTACTTACTGAGCACCTGCAGGGTTGGATGTGCGCTGGAGGCGGGGCCTGAGCCCTGTAACCAGCTGTAACCCGCTGGCCTCCGCTCTCCCCCTCCCTCCCCTCACACCTGTCCCTTTACCTGCTCAAGTCAAGAAACATTGATGGAGTTTGTGGGGGTTTTTGTTAATCCTCATATGAGGGTATTTTCCCCCCTTTTTAATATGTAATCAAATTATGCCTTTTACTTCTCCAGTTTTTCTACTTTGGACATTTAGAAAGCCTTCGACAACCTTGAAGTCAGATCACAATTTATATATATGGATTTTCTTTTCTTGTTTTAGGCGTATCCAACTTTTTATTATAAAAGTTTTCAAACATACTGAAGAGTTGAAATAATAGTATAATGAACGACTATATACCTTCCAGGTCCTTTTTTTTAAAAAGAAAAATTGTAACCACTTACCCACCTTTAATTTGTTTGGGTCTATTCTATGTAATGGGACATCTAGTTAAACTTAATTCAAATAGGTAACTAATTGTTCTTTCTCTCTTTGTTGAATGTTTGCTCTTCCTGTTGATCCTGTGGGTCCCCTTCATTGTAACACTAACTCATTTCATCCAATTCCCTGTGTGTCTGGGCTCGAGAATCTGTTCCACTGACCTGCTGTTTCCCGGCGGCTCTCGCCTGGCGCCGAGTCACCAGGCGTCCTCCAGCTTTTCTGGGCTATTGCCCCACATTCGTTTTTTTTCCAGTAAACTTCAGAATATCTTCCCCTTAAAAATAATCCCACATGACTCCAGTCGTCACTGCTTTTGCCCTGTCAGTTAGCGGTGGGGGACCCGAACCTCGACCTCCAGCGTTTCCCGCCGGGGAACACAGTTCTTTCCCATTGTGAGGACATTTATCTGTACCCCTCAGTAAAGCTGAACACTTCCTTCCTTCAGCTCCTGTGTCTGTCTGGTTAATCCATCTGTTAAGTTTATAATTTTTGGGGAATCGTGGGACTAGTCTTTGGGGGATATATATATATAATATCCTCTAATCGGTGAGAAATAAGGCAGCTCCTGATTTTTGTGTGTTTTCTCTCTAGCAGGCTTGCTGAGCGCCTGTTAGCCGGCATAGCTGTCCGGATGTTTCTCTTGAGTTTCTAGCACCCGCAGCCACAGAGCCGGCCCTGTTTCCGTCGTCGCAGCGCCTGGCCGTGCGTCGGTGTGGACTTTTCGTTTCTACCACGCGCTTCAGTGATGTGGGTCTTGCTGTTTTGCCTCCTGCGCCACTCACTGCCCGCGATCGCTGGGTCTGCTGTGTGTCCAGGCCTGATCGGTGCGCTGGAGAGCGGGGGGGGG